TTCAATTTCGTAAGTTTAAACGTCATTTTCTCGTATTTGCAGAAGTTCTGACGGTCGAACTTTTTTTTGGTGCTTTTAAATATTATTATAATAATTATCATAATGAGTGAAAGTATTAGGAAAATTTTGGAACGGGACTGAATGTTAGGATTTTCACCCCATGGCCTAGATGTAGGTCTCTGTCTAGTTTATGAAAATTTTTTTATGATCTTGATCAAGGTACTGATACCTACAGTACTTCAATTTGACGTAAAACAGAAAACACAGTACTTGATCAAATCACCATGGCAATGAAAAACATTTTCGTGGCGAGACGAATGAACAAATTGTAGGCAATATCAATACATTTCAATATAGAACTATATGTACTGTAAATTTAAGGGATCATTCATATCCCCTGCACATTTTTGCCAGAAATGGCAGAGTTATAATACTACACGGCTCTACAATGTTGGCATCACTAAAATAGTTGTGGAACCACACCAAAGTTTTTCATTATTTAAGGTATAATCTAGTTTTTTATGTTTTTATGGTGCAGGGGGAACGCCAGAATGGGGGTGGGGGGGAGCCAGGCCCTTTTTTGGGGAGAAAAACCAAGATTCGTTAGGGAGAAATTAAGTATGTAAGTATTATCTACATATCAGTAGACCCCAAAACCGGTTAAATAAGCCTTTGAAACTCTTAAATTGTCATATTTTTCGGGGGCTTTGACCCAAGGAAGACTAGACGCCCAACCACGCCCATCTTTTTTTTTTTTTTTGGATATCTTTAAGAAAAATTATTTTTCAGAGTTAAATCATAAATTACACCTATGAAATCATAATAATAATAAAATATTATGAAAAGTAGATCATTTGTCTAAAAAAAGAAACAATTTGGTTTCAACTAGGGCAGGACAGAATTTGACCAATAAAAATGTTTCAATATTAATAATTAAGAAATGCATCCAAAACATGTTTTGACCTCAATTTGTACTATTGATTGCCAACTATAAAACAAATTTAATTTAAAATTCTAGAAAATACTGACTGCAAATATCAGCAAATACTGTATAGGGATTTCCATCCCACCAGATTTACTAAGTATTTTCCTAACTTTGGTCACAATACACGCAAAATGGGTATATTATCAGCTTTTAAAATGCCCTCTTTTAAAGTGATAAATATATTATCGTAGACATTTAAAAGTAAAAATTTGATTTTTTTTTTTTAAATGATAGGTTTTAGATTACACCCACTTGCAGAATTTTATAAGCATTAAGAGAACACTAGATCGTTTTATTGTGTTCTGCAAACCTAATTTTACATTGTGCTGTATTGTTGAGCAGCAGTCACAGTTTATATCCAGATTCAATGGAAACTAGGTTGAAGTGGTGTGGCAGTGCATAATGAAGCATGTGATTTTAGGTGGGTGAAAGTAATAGATTGGACCTGGTTGGATAGTCAAGAGAAGGAATGGGGAATGCAATGTGGTTTGTGGTTGCTAAATTTTTCTGAAAACTCAGTGAAACTATCAATACCTAGGCACAAAATGTAGTCTCTAATGTATTTCATTTGCCCACAATGAAACTTTAGGGGCATCATGTGGGCTAAGTGTCCTAACTGAGGTGTGAATTTTCCAAAATTTGAGATATATACTTTTGCGATATTTTAGGTCAAAGTTCAAGGTCATGTGACTTGACCTATATAATTCTCACTAGTCCGGACATCATTGAGTTGCATATCATTGGAAAGAGAATCTTATCTATCTAAAGGTAGCAGAATATCTCCAATACGTTGAGTTTCAAGAGAGATATCAGCAGTTGTCTGTCAGAAAGTAAGTTTTTTAGCCAAATCTCATGAAAATTTCAAATTGCTCTAACTCATCAGAAAATGCTGGCGTGGAGCCAAAAATTCACTGTGGGGTTATCTCGGGTAGAACCCCCAACATGTAAAATATTGGGCGATTTGAAGGGGGTCGGGCAAAAAGTTTGTTAGATTCATATGGAATGACTCATTGGTTTAAAATAGTAGTAAAACTTCATTAATTCACGAAGCATAAATCAAAAAATACAATGCTGTTTTTCATTATGGCCATAAGTAATTATCATTTTGACATTACTAGTTTAAAGGCATCTTCTTAGTTATTTTGTGTGTGGAAAAGTTATTATAGTGCTTACAATGTAGCCACATTCAGTTTACAACCAAGCATAATTTATTATATCAAAAAAATCTTCGATAAGCGCCGTCAATCCATTTAAACAACTATTGCAGAAGA